TGAAATACATCACTCCAAGCTCTTCTTGCCTTGAGGGTTTGCATTGAGAAGTCTGCTGTGATTCTAATGGGCTTTCTTTTGTCTGTGATTTGTTTCTTTTCTCTAACTGCTTGTAGAACTTTGTTCTTCTGTTGGGTTTTTGGAATCTTAACTATTATATGCCTCTGTGTAGATATTTTTTGATCAAGGCTAGTTGGAGTCCTATATGCCTCACTTATTTGTATGTCAAGTTCTTTCCCCATGCTTGGGAAGTTTTCTGCCATCACTTCTGTGAACAGTTTTTTTATGTCACCTGAACTCTCTCCTGTTTTTTTACTGACCCCGATCAGTCTTATGTTATTCTTCTTTGCATCCTCTAGTAGCTGTTGGATTGATTTCTCATGGTCCCTTACAATTTTAAAGCAATTTTTCTTTTCCTTGTCACTAATTGCAATCTTATCTTCTATATCTGAAATTCTGTCCTCACATTGGCTCATTCTGCTGCATAGACTTTCAATGGAGTTTTTAATCTCCTGGAAATCTGTTTTTATCTGTTTTATGGATTTCATTTGTTTCCTATGTTGTGATTCCATCATGTTCCTCAGCTCCTCTATTTTTTTTCTGTGTCCTCTCCAGATTTATTAATCATGTCTTGCACTATGGGCCCAATCTCTGCTGTTATCTGAGAAATTATTTCTGATTTCATTTTTTCCAGATCCACTTGTGGTGCCGGTTCATGAAGTCCAGGTGGTTGAGTATCAGAGTGTTCCATCTCGTTTCCCTTTGGGGTTGTTTTAGGCGATTGGGAAGTCTGGTTTTGAAACTTGTTTATGTGTCTTCTCATTTCAATGGTGTGGGGGGTTGCTGCTGGTGCCTGCAGGGCTCACCTCCTCTGTACTGGTGGGGGTGGTATGGCAGCCCAGAAGCCTCCTCCTGTTTGGCATTGTATATTTATTAAGCTCTGACTGAGACTGCAAATGTCAGAGGCCAACAGTGGAGCTAACTGCAGACTTATGTTGGACTCCAGGAGGAAGGACCTCCATGGAGAGGAAATGTTGTGGGTGAAAATGGAGAAAAGCTTGGTAGAATTATTACAAACCTAAAGGATAAGAGAGAAATGAACAAGTTGTGGGGCTGGAACCTTCTGTCTCTAGAAGTCAGATTTACCCAGGGAATGAAGGGGACATGAGTCCATGTAAATAAGATATAAGTCTTGGTCTTGTAGTGAGAAAGGTCAGAAAAGAAAATAAGAAGGCATCTCTGTTGATTGAACTGGAAAAAGATACAATTTTCTTGGGAGGAAGGTTGAGTTCAAGTACCTCAGGCTTGAGATAATATTAAAAGAAGAGGAAATTTTCCATGCTTAAATACTTTTAGGGAGGCTAGGGTAGAGTAGAATATTCATTACTGCATCAGGGAGGAACGGGACCGGTGATCTAACAATGATGCAAAACAGGGAGAGGCCGCTAGAGGGAGCCAGGACCCAGTAAACTACTGCAGACAGTCACTTGCAAGGCTCGAGGGAAGCCTGGATTAGCAGCGAAGCTGTGAGCATACTTAGGGAAGTTTCAGAGGGACACAGTTAATCTTTTTAGGGGAGGCTATTGCCCAGGTCCCGGGGAAACATTCCCAGGAAACGTGCCATACAGTGACTGAGAAGATGAAACACACCGTAACGGGAGTTCATGTGCGAAAGAAACAGATCTGGGCACAGCTGAGTTAAACTGAGGCTAATGGGAGCGATACATTAAATCTCTAAATATCACAAGATAGCAGAAGAGACAGTGTGCATGCCCCAACTTCAGCGGTTAATGCTCAAATCAACCTGTCTGTTGGAGATTTTTCCTGGTTGAGGTTTAAGTGCCATGCTGAGAACTGCAGAGTTGGCACAGACCTGAGAGCACCTTGGCCAGGTGAAGTCAATGCTTTCCCCCTTCTCTCAGACACCATGGAGTTTCTGCTGTGAAGCGTTGCTGGCAGTAGCAAGGCGATTCCTGCTGGACTCAAGGGTCCCTGCCCATCTTCTGGAATTGGAGAAGACTATTGTGGGGATGCTGTGCCTTGTCCCATCTGCCTGCCTAAGCAAGCCACAGCCCTGGCCCCTGTGGTGCTGCCCCTTGGGAGGAGCATGGACAGATGAGGTGAAGCTTGCAAGCAGCAGCAGAAGCGTGGCTGGAGACCTCCCCAGAGCCATGCTCACCTGAGGTGCCCTGCTGAGTGTCTGTCCTCTGTGACATCTTTCTCTTGCACATCAAGCCCCATTAGAGTTTTTTTTCCCCCATCCCTCTCACTAAAACAAATCAAACCCCTCAAAACATGCATAGAACCATGTACTAGGTCCTAGGTTCTGGACATGTAATTGCCTGGGACCTGAGAACATGGTTGCATTTCCAAGTTTTGTTTGTGTGGAGCTGGTGCCATGTTTTCCACATGTCCTAAGTTACTCTGATTTAAAAAAGATGGACCTCTGAAGTACTTGGGATGGAGTAAGTCAACCTTGAAGATACTAGAGGAAACGCATCCCTTTCAGGGGAGAAGACTTTTGAGCTTTCATTTCCTTGCATTTGAATTAAAGAGAAGGTGTGTTTCACTTTTGTTTTCTTGTTATTTTTGAAATTAGGAAGGGGTTTCTGTTCAAATTTAGCACTGCTTTTGGTTGCTGGTGTTGAGTTGATATTTTATGCTTTCATGTAGTGCTTATTCTGTAGGCCTCAAGTGAGCTGTACTGAGCAATGTGACCAAGCTGCTTGGATAGAGGATATAGCCTAGGGTACAGTACCATTTTGGAGTTAAATTATGTCCCATTTAGATCCAATTCAGAGGCCTTGGGAACCAACAGTAACCTGGTCACCCCACAGATTTCAGGAGGATACACAGATGAGTGATGAGAACTATTCATCTGGAAGTAGGGATAACAGCTTTTTGTCTTTGTAAGGATTAAATGAGTCAATACGTATGAAGCATTTGGAAATGGGGCCTGTCACATGATAGGAGCTGTATAAATCAGTGGGTCATGTGGTCACATATCTCGACACAAACAGCAAAGTGGGAGACTGCTGTGATGCCCTGCTGGTCTTCTCTGTCCCAGCCCTCCTGCCTCACCTGTTGCAGATCACAGGCCCACCTGTTAGGCCAAAGCATTGAGAAAAGAGAAAGCTACTCTGCATTGGGGGCTGTCTTTTCTACTTGTCCCTTCCTGACAAAGGAGCAGGCTTGTGGGGATACTTTCCAGCCTACCTTTCCATTCCTTCCTTACTCCTCCCCAGGGAGAGGGGCTGATCTTAGCTCCGAGAGCCTGGCAGTGGCGTTTCCAGCTCCTCTCTGTTCATTCAGTAAGTCAGATGGGGATGGGGTAGGGAGACGGGGGAACCAGAAGGCCCCATTAGCCTGAGGTCGCCTATCTAGCTGAAATAGGAAGCCCTGCATTTTGAGTTACTGGTACATCTGCCCAGCCATTGTTAAGGTGGCTCCTTTGATCCCCATTGGGCAACAAGCCTTGTGCCATTTTCTGTATTAGTCTGAACTGAGTGAGGGTCAGAAGGATGTCTAGGGTGTCTTAATCTCCAAGACATTTCAATTGTTCTAATCTATTTTTCTCAGGAAACTTCCTCTCCAATTTCTTCCTAAAGTCCGTAATCTCGGTTACATTGGCAAGGATATTTTCCCCCATGTCTCAAGCTTGAGACTCAGTAGAATTTTCTGTCTAGTTTGGGAGATGTTTTTGGTGGAGTTGTGCACCCTTATACCGGGGAGGGGGAAGGATAAGTGAGGGACAGTGAGCAGGTCACCTCTTTTTATACCAGGAGAAAGCAAAGGAGGGAAGGAGATATTTTTATCTGTCTCCAGCCCTGCATACAGTTTGTCCAGATTTTCCTTGGTCAGGACAGTGCTGGCCCTGCATTATAGTCGGTCAGTTGTCTGTTGGTCTCCTGAGCACCTTTTTCATGTGTCCTGGGAGCAGAACCCTAGAGATTAGAGATGGCTTTATTCCCACCATCCTACCTGCCCTTTAATCGGCAGCCTTCCCTGAATTTGAAAAACAGAAAAAGACTTTCATTCTCCATGTTCTTCTTTACCCGTTGAGTTTCACATGCCTTGATGGTGAAAGCCGCCCGGGCCTGCAGGGGGATTGGCACATAGGAGGTAGATGGTTCTGGCACGTGGTAAAGCACTTGGTAGATGTTAGCTGAGTGGCAAATGGAAGCCACGTACCCTGAATAGTCCTGGAAGGTGAGAGTGTAGAGGCGTAGAGGAAGAGGCCTGGAGAGAAGCCAAGATGCTACAGTATGTGACCCTGGAAGTATCTAAGGCACAGCTCAAAAGTGTGCCAGGAGAATCAGCAAAGGGTAGTGTTCTGGAAAGCCAACGAGGAGAAGATTCTAGAAGAGGCAACTGTGCTCAACTCTGCAAAGGCAGTGCAGAGATTCAGGACTGAGAAGAAGCCATGGGGCTTGTTGTTGCCTGTGGATTTGGGGAGAGCAAGAGCAGCAGGCTGGTGGGTGGGAAAAGGCAGACTGCAGAGGGTGAGGAGGCACATGTCGCACTGAGGAGGTGGAGGCAGGCTGAGGAGGGTCAGGTCTCACAAAGGATGTCTTGGGCTGGGGAGATAAACAGCCCTGTGAGCTAAAGAGCAGGACAGGTTCAACTTAAAGCATTAGGGGAGCTAGAGAAGAATCCTAGTAGAAAGGGGATATCCTGCTTCCTTTTCTGGGCCCCATAAAACTTCCACAGATCTGGGTTTGGATTGCATCTCTTTAATGAATGAATTTGAGAGATGGTGGTTGGGATGGACAGAGGTAGGTAGGCACCTCTCAGGGCCCACTTTGGAGTTTAAGCACCCTCATCATTAGGGCTTCATGACGTCCTTTGCACTAGGGATTAAGCTTTTTAAATTGTCCGAGAATCTGTTCATGATTTTATCCAGATTGTTCTCGATTTTGTGGCTGAGCTTGGCCATTCTTCCTTCTGAGGTGGTTGCTGGGGAATATTGGGAGAGAAATGTCAAGTTAGGGCTGGTTCCTTTCTCATCTCCCTATGCTCCAGTGACAGCCTTCCACAGAGCTGGCCATCAGTGGGTCATTTGATTTCATTTATATTAATTTCTCCGTCTCCTCTCTCTCCCCCCCACCCTGCTCTTTTTTTGTGGTACTTGGGATTGACCCAAGGCCATGCTACATCCCCAGTCTCCTTTTTTTTTTTGGTACCGGGGATCAAACTCAGTACCTTGCGCTTGCAAGGCAGGTGCTGGAACCACTAAGCTAAATCCCTGGCCCTAGTCTTTTTAAATTTTTGTTTCTATTGTTTTTGTTTGTTTTGAGACAGAGTTTTGTTAAATTTCCCAATCTGGACTCTAACTTGCAATCCTCCTGCCTCGGCCTCCCAAAGTCCTGGGATTACAGTTGTGAGCCACTGTGCCAGGCTTTATTTACATTTAATTCTAGTTCCCCCACAGCTTCTTTTCTCCTTCTGACCCCACCTATTTCCACTCAAAGTAGCTTTACCCTTGCCTTTTTCTTCTTCATGCCCCCACAACTGCTTTCCTCTTTCTCTGGCTCTTACCAGTCCTGGGGGTGGGTTCAGTGCTTTCTTCTGACTGAAGCCTGGCATTTTTGAGACTCTCTTCTTGGAAGATGGGATGAGGCTGCATGGACTTCTGATTCTTGGGTCTGGTGGATTTTATCTCCACATTCTGTTTGGAAATCAGCTCTTCTCTGATGATGGAAGGCTCCTTAGAAAGGTCCTCATTGGAGACATGGTCCTTCCTGGGATGGTTAGTAGGAACAGACTGGGCAGCTGTGACCACAGAAGTGGAGGAGGTGAGGGGCAGAGAAAGCTCTCAGGGTTAGAAGCAGTCAACTAGTGCTTTATGTGGTCCCTTAACAAGTGGAGGGCATCAGGCTTGGGTCATCACCTAGTCAACATACAAGTAGGACTAAGGTCCTGTCCCAGAATCAAAGTCTGTGAGCATCTCAAATCACATATTTGATTTTGAATGTCATTGATTGGGAATTCTACTTCCCCCCAGCAAATACACCTTCCCAGTTAAAACAGATGAATTTTACAAACACCCATTCTGTGCCTGGTTCATGGGAAGAGTTCATTAATATTGGTTCTTTTCTTCTGAATTCTAGGTACTGCTTGCATTTGCCCTCTCTGGTTTCTCCCAGGTAAATGGAGGGAAGCTAGCCTGAGATGAAATCATATCTATAGATAATCTACAAAGTAGAGTCCAAAAATGTTCATGGTTTTGGGGCCGTGGGTGTTGGGAGCTTGGAACCAATGAACCCCTCAGTGTCTTTGCCTTGGGGTGAGCTGAAACACTTTACCTGCTGGCATTTGCTGTAAGGGATGGTCCCCCAATGATCACCTGGCATGAATGCTGTTCCAATGGTTCCTGGTCCCTGGATCTTGGTCAGTTAGTCCAGCAGGAAGGGTTAAGGCCAAGGAGGGACTGTCTTTGCTCTGATTCTTCTCCAGGTAGAGAGTTCATCATTTATTGGACAATCTTTTACTACCACTGAGGGTTTTTTTTTTGGTTGTTTTTTATTTTTATTTTTTGGTACCAGGGATTGAATTTGGGACCTTGCACTTTTGAGACAGGCAGCGGCACCACTGAGCTAAATCCCTGGCTCTTTGGTTCTTTTTCAGACAAGCGAGCTCTGTGTAGTCCAGGTTGGTCTTGAACTCACTGCAATCTTCCTGACTCATCCTCTCAAGTGCTGGGATTACAGGTGCACCGTCACACCCAGCTCAACACCGACTTATTCTAAAGGATGCCAGCATGATACTTACTAGAATCTGCACTGAGCCTTTACGGGGATTTCATCTTCTGGCTCTGAAACAGAAGAGTTTAAAGTGTCAGAGGTCTCTAGACAGTCAATATGTGAGTTTCTGACCCTTCCCAGCCACAGCATTCTCAATCTGCCTTACTTTTTTTTTTCTAAACAGTAGCAAAGTTTATTTGAAAAAGTAAAAATGAAGAGTGCTAGAGAAACTGGCTTTGCAGAGCCAGTTGGGCTGAGTAAAAGAGGAAAAAGCAAGATAAAAGTACACCCAGGAGGACCCAGGGCAGGCTACTGTGAGGAAAGCTACAATAGCCTCCTCCTTCCTCTTGTCTTTGTTTTTTGCAGCAGTTTGAACACACTATGAATTGATTTGATATGTTTATTGCTTTTTTTTCCTCCTAGGCTGTAATCTCAGGGATGGCTGAGGTCTCTGTCTAGTCTGTTCATGCATCCCAAGTCCCTAGAACTGCGTCTGCCTTGGAGTAAGTGCTTGATAAAGAGCTATTGAATGTGTGTGTGTGATCTTGCCTTCATTGTACAGAGGGACGAAGGGTGGTCCATGGAAGTGTAGTGACTCTGATTGTGTTGTCCAGCATTAGCAGAAGCTATAATCCAGTGGGAACCTCTGTTGACTCCTAGTCTGCCCTGATTAGGTCCAGTTTGGGCCCTCTGGTCCCAACCTTAGGCTTTATGGGTTGTAGGATTTGTGGGATCATATGTCCTCATTTCCTGCCTCCATCCCTAAGTCGTCCCAGGTGTGGACTTTTAATTCTCCATCTCCCCATCCCTCCACCCAGCACATTACAAGGTTAAAGAAGGACCTTGACCTCTAGGGGACTGCAGGGAGTGGGAAGGAGGCCACACTCACCATGAAGGATGGCGAGAGATGTAGAGGCCAGGCTGGCCAGCAGCAGGAGAGCGATGACTTTCATGGCAGAAGGGAGGCGGGATCAGTTTTCCTGGGGAGGCCATTTTGAAGTTGCTGAGACGGCAGCCTGGAAGGGGCTTTATTTATTTTGGGGTAGGGATGGGCTATGGGGAAAACTGGTTCAGGATTGGATCTGGGAGTGCCAGGTTTCCCTTCCAGAGTTTCCCATTCTGAGTACATTTGTTTTTGGGAACTGGAGTTTCTGGGAAACTGGTTAACAGGAAATAAGGCCCCTAGCCTTCTCCCTGGCCTGGGCCAGCCCCAGGGTCTACCCTTGTATGTCTTTGGGTTAACTTCCTGATGTGAACGTCCTTCCTTCATGGTGCTTACTACTGGTATAATTTTACTTTTATACATGTGGTCATTTAGTTACTATCTATTATTCCCAGAAGAATGAAATTTCCACGATGGCTGGGATTATATCTGTTTTGCTTGGGATTGTTTTTCCAGCACCTTGAAAATAGCTGGCACATAGTAGGTGCCCAGAAAATATTATGTGGTGAATGAATCAAGGAAGGGCCAGACAAAACTCCCCAACAGTATAGGAGTGAAGGAATGAGGCAGTTACAGGAGTTCCAGCAAACTGTCCTATGTTTATTCACAGGAGATATAATTCATGAAGTTATTTATTAAGCAAAGAAACTCATATGCACAGAAAAGAGGTGACTTGTAGAGTCACATATTTGGGTGCATTTGAACCAGGTCAGTCTAACTCCACATCCAGGGCCTAGGAGACAAGTGGAGGTGTGAGATGCCCAAGGAAGCATCTGGAGAGCAGGGGGACTGTGCCTAGGACTTGGATCCTGGGCCTTGGCCTGTGTAGCAAACTAATTGATCTTCTGTGTCCTCCTCTAGCTGGAGGTTTTGATGATCTCTTTGAAACATCTGTTTCTGGATTGTCTCTAGGCAGGAGAGGGCTGCCACAACCTGAGACCAAGCCCCCTGCCTTTAGCAGAAAACATACTTGCTAGTCATATGAAGTCCCACTGATGGTAAGATCTTGTCCATAGACCAAAGAGGACACTGGGCTGTGCCAACTGGTGCGAGTCCTCCCCCTCTGGGACAGGAGAGCCCTAGGGGGGTGGCAGCTGTCCTCCAGTTACTCCGTACAGCTCTCCTCAGGCAAGATAGTGAAGTGAAGGAAGTTTGTCTTGGGCTGCCTCCCACCTCTACTTCCTCCAAATTTCCCCCTCTCAACAGCAATCTTCTTACCTGTAGCCCAGGGGGTTGGGGAACAGGACAAGGACAGATGAGAGCATTCATACTGAATCCACTGTGAGGATTCCAGCTTTGCAGGTTTATTTCCTAATCTACCATCATCTTGAGGCCACCATCATCTCTAGGCTGGGCTATTTTAGTATTTAATTCTTTCTTCTGGCAGGCACCAAGCCCTTGCTGCTCAGCTGGAGGGTAGAGAAAAAATATGATGACCCCTGACCCTGATAAATCTTCGTTTTCTTTCTCACTTATTCTTTTTTTTGGTACCGGGGATCAAACTTGGGTTCTTGCGCTTGCGCAGCAGGTGGCGAAACCACTGAGCTAAATCCCCAGCCCCTCACTTATTCTTTTTATTCATGCTGGGGAGTAGGGTGATGGTGAGAGGATCAAATCTGTGTTTTCTGAATTAGTCCTCAGGGATGTGACTTAGTTATTTCTTGGTGGTAGTCTTTAGGTCACAGAATACTCAGTGACTACCATTTTTAACTTGTAGCTATAGTGACAATTATCAAACAATAGGGATTTTTATTTGGCATCTTATTTCAGGTGTCTGTTATAATTCTATATTTTGCTATCCATCATTTATTAACAATATTCATAACATATGCAGACTTGAAATTTTTTGCACTGTGTGAAGCACATTGGCTCTTTCTTTAAAAGAGAACACCCCAATGTTTTTCACCTGTTTACTGAACCTGATGGCAGATGCAGATCTCAAGTCTAGTTGTAACTCCTTGATTTACCTACAATAAAAAGGTATTATCTATGATCAAAAGTTCCAATATAACAAGTAGAAAAGGTGGAATGTAAAAATAATGAAAAGTCCCATTAAAAATGGTGTGATGGGAAGCACCTCCAGCAGCCAGTACTCCATGGTAAATATTCTGCTGGACAGAAATTGCAAGGGTCCCCTAACTAGCATTGGAATAATACACTTGATTGGGCAATCTGGAAGCCCCTAGTTGTGTTCTCTGAGAGGGTCTCCCTATCCATTGTCTTTTAGGGCCTTAGTTGGGGTGAACATTGAACAAAATGAACATTTGATTCAGTCTAGATCTAGAATGTTCAGCAAAGGCCCATGTATTAAAGGCGTGGCTGCTCACTTGGTGCTACTTGGGGGGAGGTGGCCATTTTAAAAGCTGGGGCCTAGTGAGAAGCTTTAGTTCACTGGGGAGTATCTTCAAAGGGGTTTATGGGACTCTGGTCTCTTGTTTTGTCTTTTTTCTCTTCCAATAAGTGGTTTTGGTATGCCTTGTGTTCCCACCCTGATGTGCTGCCATAGGCCCAAAGCAATGGGACCATTACATGACTGAAACCACCAAAATTGAGCCAAAATGAACCTTTTCTCTTTATAAGCTGATTATTGTAGATATTTATTACAGTAATTGGAAGCTGAGTACTGTAATACTCTCTTTTGAAGAGCAGACCAGTTCTTGGCTCCACTTTGCTCATAGCCTAACCTATTGAAAATGTTTTCTGTATTCATTTTCACCAGTTCCTGTTAAACCCATTCTAAGTCATACTTTTACCCAAACTACTGCACCAAAATTGGTCTTGTCAAGATAGTCACATTGGCAGGAGGTCACGAGCCCCGGCCCATCCCACAGGACTCCAGAGAGACCAGTGGCCACTGGCCACTCACTGCCAGCAGCCCCCATGGCTGGGAGTTACAGAGTCATGGAAGATGACAGTTCTATTGATTACAGTGTTCATGAGGCCTGGAATGAAGTCACCAGTGTCTACCTGATTGTGATCCTTGTTAGCTTTGGTCTCTTCATGTATGCCAAAAGGAATAAAAGGAGAATTATGAGGATATTCAGTGTGCCATCTACAGAAGAAACTTTGTCAGAGCCCAACTTTTATGACACAATGAGCAAAATTCGTTTAAGACAACAACTGGAAATGTATTCCATTTCAAGGAAGTATGACTATCAGCAGCCGCAAAGCCAAGCTGACAGTGTGCACCTCTCACTGGAATGAAATCTCAGAAAACGAGCAAGAGAAGTAATTGCTATCTAGTGTGGTGACCCAAAGGCCTCTAATTCCAGCACCGGGGAGGCTGAGGCAGGACACTCACCAATTCAAGGTCAGCCTGGGCTATATAGTGAGTTCAAGTGTAGCCTGAACTACAAGGCTAGTGAGACCTGTCTCAAAGAGCAAAAATGTAAAAAAAATTTTTTTAAAAGAGTAATTGTGAAACAGTACCAAAGCAAATGCCCACTTCCTTCTACTAAATCACAAATGATGTTAAAAAACCCCAAAAACTTCTCTGTGTATAAAATTATTTTATTTGTGGGTTTCCCCCATTTTTTGGTGTTATGTTTTGCTTTTTAAAATTACTTCTCCCTGAAATTTCTTACACAAATACAAATGGCTCAAAAGGCCTGAACACAGAGCCTGCACATCTCCAGAAAGATACAGTAAGACCAGACATGGGTTTCTCCCTCTGAGGACCTTTGATTTCTTCATGATACAATCAGTGAGAAATAAAAACATATCTTTGGAAGTGAGAATCCTGGAGTTTATGCCATCTTGATTAAAATAGTTTTGGAAAATTAAAAAATAAAAATCCAGCTGTTAGAATAACTTCTTTTTAGATTGTTTTTGTGATGAGTGCAGTATAAATAAGACTAATTTTCATTCTTAGTACTCTTATTAATGACTCCTTAATCGAATTAGTGGTCTTACTTCTTCAGAACTTTTCTATCAGGAAGCATACCCATATGATGCTAATCTTAGAAGCTTTCTGTGACTAGATTCCTCCCCACCTTACTTGTGTTGTCTGTAGTTTTGTTTTTTATTCTCTACTTCTTTTCTATTTGTTGGGACTTCTTTGACCTATACAGGGCCAGGCTGTAGGAACAAATGGATCCCTCTATGTTGCTGTTGGCAACTTGCTTTTCAGTCATGTCATTGTCAGTAATGTTACTCTCTGGTTTCTTCTGCTTTTTTTTCTTTTTAAAAATTTTTAGCCTTAAGCTTTTCTGAAAACCCTCCTATCTTGTGCCATTTTGTACTATACAATGAAATATTTTTACTTATTTTTTTCATGTTTATTTAAATAAAAGCTGGTTGAAGGTAGTGGTTCAACTATAACTCAAATAGCTTTTTAATTAAAGCTATACTTAATTTTAAGAGTTCATTAACAATCATTTCAAGTATTTCTTTGTTATTATTGTGAAACTAAAAGATATAAACTTTAAATAAAAATTAAGGTTTATAGAAAATGAAAAAAAGATAGTCACATTGTGGACTGTCTGTGGAATATTCTAATACTCCTCAGATTTCTTTATCAAGAGCCTTTAGATCATCCTGCCTCAGCCTCCCAAGTAGCTGAGATTACAGGCAGCATTACCACACCTGGATACTTTTAGTTTTTAATAATAATGCATGGTTCAAGGTTCAAAAGATAGAAAACATACATCAAAAATGCATCTTAAAATTTCTGGGAAGATGGTGGAGTGGTGAACAGCAGATAGAAAGTCCTTTGATATTCTGTGTCCAGATGCTGGAATATAGTAACATGAAGAGAAGAAGGAGGGAAGTAGGTCCCTGACACCCAGTAAGGATCTGAAGCAAGAATTGAAGCTCACAGGGAGAGTGAAGACAGAGACCTCAATGCAGAAGAAGGAGGTAGCAAGTGGCACTTTCTCCCTGAGCCCTGACTCACTGTGTGGGAGGGGCCTCAAACCTGTAGATGCACAGTGACTACTGGCAAGCCCAGAGGCTTCCATGGAGAAACACACCAGTGGAATGGAGCAATGGATGCAGTGGACTGCAGTGGCTGGTGAGTTAATCAGGTTTAGAGATCAATAGGAGAGGGCAGTTGGCTGGTAGCCATCTGAGAGAGGGTC